ATCAACTTCGTTTGGTCTAAACCACTGACCAAAATGCTTAAGCTGAAGTTAATAGTAGTACACTCATCAGACTCTTATAAGTCAATCTTAATCTTGCCCACTTTCAATGTGGGACTAATCAGGGGTGTTACAATCACCCCCACTCAAAGGCTTGACGTCCTCGTCAAGCCAGATCAAACCCTAGCATAGTGCATGTGAGGCGCAACCCAGTGGTGGCTCCACGCCGTGACGAGTCCTCTGACTCCGTCTACGGGTAGCCCTTTCCTACTCGAGCCCCTCACCATGCCCAAATGCTAAGTCGGCTCTGATACCAAATATATTATAACCCGAGCCTGATGAGCTAACTGGCCTATCAACTTCGTTTGGTCTAAACCACTGACCAAAATGCTTAAGCTGAAGTTAATAGTAGTACACTCATCAGACTCTTATAAGTCAATCTTAATCTTGCCCACTTTCAATGTGGGACTAATCAGGGGTGTTACAACATCACCTTAAACAGTCATGTTGTAAGTCTATCTCTCTTATTAATTCCCTTTTACATGAATGTGATCAGAAAAGATTCCGCGGTGCATGAAACAGTCACTAGTATCATATATTATCCTTATTAGCTAATCAATATGGAAATAAAATTATCAGCATCTTTTCACACAAAACTTTTAAATCTTTAAATAAGCAGATCCTGTTAGAATGTCGCCAACCTTTGTTGTATGTGCAAGTACTTCTACATGTACACCGCTGTTCCGGTGTCCCGGTGCTTACTATCTGATACATCTCATAGTAGTAATCAGGCATATTAGCTTCCTCGGATGCATCTCATTGGATGGCTTACTCTGGCATAACTCTGGATGAGTTCAATTTTCATAGTGCTTGTGTTTAGCTTTGTGTGACCAGTGATGTTGCTTATTTTGTGTGCCATATCTTTTTTTTGGCAATTAGATCATTGAATAGTATGATTCACTACAGAAATGACAGTAGAAAAAATATATTGAGCTGACAGATGACCCATTTTTGGTAGTTATGCTTTTAAATCTGAGTTTAGAACACAAAATTTGAAAACTTGCATGTGTTATTGTAATTAATCTTCATTAGCTACTATAAATTAATTATTTGGTTGAAACTTAATTGATATTGTTAGCCTTTAGAAACTGATTGTGATGTTAAAAATATTGGAGTTATTTTTGATATTTTATATATTTATATTATTTCTTTTAATTTAATAAATTTATGTTAACTTAGAAGTGAGTAATCTAATTTTTTTTTCTATTAATAATAAATACTTTTACCGAGAAGATTACAATTTCACGAGGTTCTCATTTCCTCAGATCTCTCTGATAAATGCTATTGGCTCTTAATAGTTCTTTGACCCAACAAGCTCACCATGGCATGCTCTGTACTATCAAAGCATGCATTATTTGGCTTGTCTTAGCAATGTGCATGCATGTGTAGTTTATAATAATTCTCATTAGTGCTCCAGCTTTGGGGTATAGTCAATGAGTGAAGCAAGTTTCTATCAAGGAAAAAGGTACTAAAGCAGCTAATCTGAGGAGGGTCATTATGACGACCTCTACAGATCCTTCCAACATCGGCACCGTGTGCATCATCGAGAACTACAGGAGATGAAAGATGAAGAATTTATGATGCAGAACATCACTTATACGTTGGTGACTGGTTGGTTCATAGAGGCGATACATAAAGTTGGTCTTGCTGCTAATGGCCATGGCATGGCCGAGATTAAGCCCTCAAGGTTTCTTCGCAGGTGGGATGTCGACGATGGCGACGAAGTCGACGGAGTTGGCGGCCATGGCGTCGTCGACGGACTTGGGTAGCTCGAGTGCGCCATGCTTTTTTCCACCGGAGTTGTCCGTGGACTGGATCAAATGGTCGGCGCTCTTCCCCCATATAAGAGAGTAAAGGCCGATGACTATGACAACCGCGCCGATCACCCTGTCAATGGTTTCCGAGAGAACTCAGGTGAGTTGCGCTGTGTCTGTGTGTGTAGAGGAGAAGGTAATGCGATGGTTAGAGAAGCGGTACCTCCCGAGAGCGATCTCCTCTGCAAGAATGGTGGAGCCCATGAAGGCCACTATGATCATGCAGAGAGGGCTGAAGGCGGTCACGAAGACGGGCCCTCTCTCCTTCATTACCACGGCCTGTAGATAATATGCCATCCCTGTGCACATGATGCCCTGTGCAAAAGAGATGATTTGTCAGCATCTCTCTCACTCTATATATATGTACACGCGATCATTTCATAAAAAGCTTAATCTTTTGGGAGTATTGATCATCTGATTCAGAGTATCCATCGGTGGCTGTCCTATATCAGTAAGAAGTGTAATCTTACCGAGTAGATGGCGGTGAAGAGTCTCATGTCGAACCCTATCGACCAAGGCTTGACGCCGCGTTCCATGAAGAGAGCCACTGCGCCACCTTGTCCAGCGCCCAAGACGCATATCAAGGTGCTCAAGGATAGCTCTGCAGGGTACGCCTTCAAGGTATGCGACTGCACCCCCAATTCCCCCAAAGTGAATCAACAGTTCTTTCACATGGCCAACACAGTCCGAGAGAGAGAGAGAGAGAAGGTAGAAGAGATTACTTGGAGTATGAAGAAAGCAGACCAGCAGAAGCAGCTGAAGAGTAGCATGAAGGTGCCGGCGAGCCAGTGGGCATCGCTCTGGGCGGCAGCATCAGCAGGGTGGTGGCGCCCTCTGTTCCACACGAACTCCATGATCGGACCTTTGTACAGTATCATGATCAGCGCACCCATCACCGTCACCGCGGTCCCAAAGATCTTCGCCTGACTACGCCGCTTCTTGATATCTATTATCTCCATTCTGATCACGAAACGGCATGCGATTGATGTGAGATGCCGTACGTGCAGTAGCAGATCAGATACATAGGTAGCTGGTGGAGAGATCGAGCTTTCACCTCAGAATAATGGCGTTCACGAATGTGACCGCAGGCAGGATGTTGTAGAGAGCAGAGGAGAAGCTTGCCGATGTGTTCTTGGTGCCCATGTAGTAGAAGTTTTGGTCCAGCACTGGCCTGAATGAAATCGATGTGATACTTGTGTCAAATAATAGCCAGATTTGATGCACAATGCAGTAACTCAAACAGTGTATGGTTTGTGGATCGATACTCCAGCAGTGCGAGAGCCATGATCTTGAGGAAGATGGGGAGTGTCATCTTGGGCCTGCCTTTCCTGCAGTGATACGATCAACCTCTCTCGCATAAGATGAAGCACAACACACGCTATATGTGTGGAGCGTGGAAGAGGGAGACGAACCTTTCGAACCACAGCGCGAATGGACCGATGACAGCGGCGGCGATGGCGTTGCGGTAGACGACAAGCACGTAATGGCTCATGCCCTGCTTGAGCGAGACCACCGAGACCACGTACATGCCTGCGTAGCCAAACTGCAAGAACACCATGGCCAAGTACGGTCTCACACTCCTCCAAACCTCACCGACACCCATGCTGCTTGCTATCTTCTACTACACACGCTTCTCCTCGCTCCGACCTCACAATGCATGCAGAGCTCGAAACCCTAATGCAGGCTTATATAGGGGAAGGAGAAGCCACGGCCCTCACGTAAGGCCACCGCACTCCATTATGCTCGTCCATAAACGACACCAAACTAAAGGGCAGTGCGGTCTTCATGGTCTATAATTCGGAAAGGGACTTAAGAGGGAAAACTACAAGCGAGAGGGTGCAGTTCCGTCTTCGGGGTCTATGATTCGCAAAGGGACTTTAGGAAGAAAGCTCCACAAGAGAGGGTTGATTAAAGTGCTCCACTGCTTTTGGTGCTTCGCATCGCATGTATTGCGCGATGACGCCTCAAAGGCGCGGCCAGTGGAAGCAAGAGTTAGTGCAGTCTGATGAGGGCTGGCCTCCTACTACATATGATGAGGACAAGTTGTGCGCAGTGTAGGGCGAGCTCGACTCAGGACTCCAAAGTCTGGAGCTTATCCGAGGCTAGGGTAATTCCAGGGGGTGAAGCTTCTGGTAAGGTTGGCGAAAGCAAGGGTTGCCAACACCATGAGTTGGGAACAGAAGACACTGCTAAAGTGCATGCACAATAATGTTGGGGAGGTGGAATCCTCTCTCTCTCTCTCTCTCTCT